TTTTCCAGTCTGATATAAGTGGCCCTGTTGGAGGACATAGGCACATAAACATCTTTGGCTAGCCTGCTTTTGGATATAGATACACTGGACCATTTCTAGTAAAAAATAAGGAGTAACTACAATCAGTATCACCAGTTTGAGTTGTTGTGTGGCAGCAGTGAATGCAATTTTTAATAAAATTGTAATTACAGAGAAGAGCCATTAGTAAATCTGTGAATTAATATGGCTTGTTCTTGTACTGATTGTGAGCACCAAGAAGCCATGAATGAACTCAATTGAGGTCGGTAATAATCACTAGGGAGGGGGAAAACACTGTTAGCTGCTACTACACAGCCATTACCAGGAGCAATGAGACCAACAGGTTCCCAATTACGTTAGGTGTGGAGAAAGGTTCCTAGAATGTGAAAATAACATATTGTTCTCAGTTCAAAAGTTGTTTTAACACTCAGTGTGTGGGAAGAAGCTGCAGATTTCATGTACTGTACTGCACAGTGCAAAACTCACAGAGGCTTTAAAAATGATGAAGTGTGAACCAGGAAAACAACTGTAATTTTGTAATTATTCTGGAAACCATCTCTGTTCAGAAAACAAGTTCTTGCATTCCACAAGCTCTGTTTTAACTATCCTCTTGGAAACCTATACATTCTCCGTTCTTCCGTTGTTAAACCTATAGCTAAAAATTTAGCTAACTCTTATGAAGAAGTGTGCTTGCACATGAACACTTATACCTTGAATAAAACTTTGTTGGTCTTAAAGGTGCCACTTTAAAGGTTCTGCTGCTTCAGACCAACGCGGCTACCACCCTGAATCTATCTTATGAACCAGACACTCTTTGCCCCTACCCACTGTCACATTTTTAGCCTTCCTTTGAGAAGTCCAGAATGGCATACTTGGTTCTAACCGCACCCATTTTACCTGCACAACAATCCTGTAAAGTAGATTAGGGCCCCTGCCACATGGCAGGGAAAACACGGGGCGAAGCGCGGCTTTTAAAAGCCGCACCAAAAAAGAAACACCGCGGTGGGATCCCATGGATCCCGTTAGCCGCGCGCCGTTGCTCCCCGGCACGATCAGATGCCGGGGAGGAAGAGACGAGGGGGAGGGGGAGGCTGCTGAACTGCACATGCTCGAGCATGCGCAGTACGGCAGGGGGCAGGGGATGCGCCGGTGAAAAGACGCACCGGCGATCCCACGGCCGCATTTGCCGCGGCCCATTCAATTGAACCACCCAGGTAGGTGGTTCTTTTTTGATGTGCGTTTTGGGCGGTTGGGACAGATCGGGGACGGCCACGGCACGATTGCCAGATGTTGCTGTGTGATCGCGCCCGTTTGATGCGGCCCCGATCCGTCCCTCTCCCGGCCCAAAACGCCTCGTGTGAACAGGGCCTAGGTTGAGAGAGAGAAGAGAATAGGCTTTTCCAGAACATTTGTGGCACTCCTATCTTCCCTACCAGGAGGACATGCTGCATGTGATTCTGTCAGTATATATCATCACCATTTTGTGTGAGATGGACAACACACACATTTCCCAGCCATGGTATGTGCTTCCCAAAACCTAGGTTTTAGAGGGTACGTCCCACTTTTCACACGAAATAGCAATAGTGTGTATTGAGAGGATAACTTGCTCTCCCAGACAGTACATTAGCTATGAACACCAGAAATACAGCTCCAAAAAGCCCAAGATCATCCAGGGACCTTCATGGTTGAAACCCCAGTCACACATTACAATTCTCCCTGCAACATCCACAAGTTGGGTCAAGGGATGTGTCCTGGAGTTTTGCACTTCCCAGGTGTGCACAGGACCAATTCAGACCAGAGTCATGGTACGCAGGAAGGAGGAGCTTGGATCTATCTGTTATTGGAAGGCCATCCGTCCTCCACCCCTGAAAGTCTGGCTGAGGCCTTGGAGGGTGTGGCTGGATGGTTGTGGCTAGGGTTGCCAAATGGGGCCGGGGGGCGGGGAATCCCCCACTTTGGAGGCCCAATTTCCAATGCGACGGAATCGGGCCCCGGGGGGAACCCCGCTCCCCGAAGCTGCGTCACCAGAGGTGACGTACGACACATTGGGGGCATGGCCCAGATCGTCGGGGGGGAAACCATATGGTTTTCCCCCCCAACGATCTTGGCCACGCCCCAACGTGCTACGTTGTGCGTCACTTCCGGTGACGTTCCGGCGGCGCACGCGCACACATCGCCAGCCAGCTCCCGGAGTGAGAAGACGCTCCCCCCGCCGGTGAGTAAATTAGATTTGGCAACCCTAGTTGTGGCAGAGTCGTTTGAAGCTAAATCCATCAAAGATGGAAGTCCTGTACCTGAGCTGGAAGGGAGAGGATATGGGAATCAGGCTCCCCACACTGGAAGGGACACCTTTGGTGCTGGCCCAGGAGGTGAGGAGCCTGGAAGTGACACGGGATCCCTCTCTCTCCATGGAGGCCCAGGTTGCTGCAGCCGCTTGATCTGCCTTTTTCCATCTTTGGCAGATTAGGTTGCTGAAACCCCATCTCTCCCCCCAAGACTTGGCTACAGTGACCCATGCAATGGTCACTTCCATGCCTGACTACTGCAATTCACTGTACACAGGCTTCCCCCTGAGGCTAACCCAGAAATTACAGCTGGTGCAAAATGTGGCGGCACACCTGCTAACGGTGACACCCACGCAGGCTCACATTTGGCAGCTATTCCACTAATTGTATTGGCTACCCATAGAGTTCTGGATCCATTTCAAGGTGTTGGTAATAACCTTTAAAGCCCTACACAACCTGGGACCAACATATCCAAGCAACCACCTCTTCCCATACACACCCCAAAGACTACTACGCTCTAAGGATCAACATCTCCTGTTGGTCCCTGGCCTGAGGGATGTCCGCCTTGCCTTTACCAGGGCCAGGGCTTTCTCCGCCCTGGCCCCTGCCGCATGGAACATGCCCCCTATTGAGATCAGGGCCCTGTAGATCTTCTTCAATTCCGCAGGGCCTGCAAAATGGAGCTGTTCCGCCAGGCCTTTGGCTGAGGCAGTGGACGTCCATATATGGCCTCCCTGAGGTTATTGTCATTCTGTTACCCTCATGACAACTACTGGCCATTATTCATATTCATCATGGGCCAGGAACCTCCCACAATCAGAAAATTTCTTTGACATTTGCTGTGACCACCAATTTAATATTTATGACAATGTTTTAAATTTTAATTTTATTGTATTAATCAAATATATATTGTATAAATCAAATGTTGTTACCTGCCCTGAGCCCATTTGTGTGCAAGGTGGGCTATAAATAGGAATGAATGAATAAATAAATAAATAAAATCTTTTCTCCCATATGGTTTCCCCTACTTGGGGGCTTCATATGCACTGATGGGCTACATATTATGCCTTCAGTGGAGCAAACAGCAGCTCCCCATGTCTGTTTCAGGTCTGGAAAATGGCACAGGGAAGAAGGTCCAAGCATGTTTGAGAAATCTGGAGCTCGAAACACATGACTTTACCCGGCTTTTAAACAACCCTGTGGAGAATGTGATATGCCATTAGGCCCCAGTGTGGATTTCAACCTGGGTCAGTGTGGTGTAGTGGTTAAGGGCGGCAGACTCTGATCTGGAGAACAAGGTTTGATTCCCCACTCCTTCACATGAATTCTGCTGGGTGATTTTGGGCAAGTCACAGTTCTTTCAGAACTCTCTCAGCCTCACCTCCCTCACAAGGTGCCTGTTGTGGGGAGAGGAAGGGAAGGCGATTGTAAGCCGCTCTCAGACTCCTCTGGGTAGTGCAAAGTGGGGTATAAAAACCAACTCTTCTTCTCCTCCTTAATTCAGCACTCTAACCACAATACCACCCTGGATTGGACTAGGCTCTGGGAGATCCAGGTTAAATCCCCACTCGTGCCATGGAAGCTCACTGGGTGGCCTTGGGCCAGTCACACTCTCTCAGCCTAGCCTACCATTCAGGGTTGTTGTGAGGATAAAATGGAAGAGAGGAGAATGATGTAAACCACTTTGGGTCCCATTGGGGAGAAAGGCAGGTTATAAATGAAGTCAATTAAAAAATAATATCCTAGCAGACAAGAGTCCAGCAACAACACTATCTGTCGCAGAATTTTTGACCTATGTATGGAAGTCAAGAGTAATACTCTGTAAATCTTGTAAACCATGTTAGGACTGTTTTGTGTTTTTGAGATATTGGGAATTTTGATTGATGTTGTTCTTTGTACCTACCCTTAAACTCTCCCCTGTTTGATTTATCTATGGTATGCCAAATAAAGGTTCTCTGTTCTGTCTGTGAGTGCTTTGGGAGCCTTGGAAAAAAGAATACATCTAAGCTTTCCAGGAGGTTGCTTTCATCGGACCAAGTGATATTTCACTTCCCAACCACATGTCATAGGACTAACCATCTTTTCCTCAGTTATCAGAGGAAGCTTATGAATGTCCCATGTTATCAGAAGAGTTCATGCAATGGCAGAGACCCAGGGGCTTGCATATGAAAAGCAACAGCCAATTTAGCCTATATAAAATAGTCACCCAATAATTATTTTGAATCTTGCACTGGCAGCGATCTGGGGACCCTGCACATAATATTAGGCCCACCTTTCTTGCATTTCAGGTATTGAAAACATTTGCTGGAATCCTAGTCCTTCATGCAACAGGTGGTCTCATGACCAATGTTCCCTCTAAGCTGTAGAGTCTTGGGAGCAAAAATTCTACTTTGTGAGCTGCTGACATTAAAGTTGTGAGCCAGCGATTTGGCTCCTGCATAAATCAGTTTGCTCTGGAGCCATCCTTCCTGAGCTAAGACAAAAATGTGTGAGCTGGAGGCTAAAAAACTGTGAGCTAGCTCACACTAACTCAGCTTCGAAGGAACACTGCTCATGACTGCCTTGCCACGTCCTTGGGAACCCATGTGCACACTTGTGGTCACCACAAATCCAGGCATGCATATGAACAGGCCACCGATAAGGCCCATAAGATGCTGCCATATATCTGTTCTTTAATGAGCTCTTCTTCTCTTTCAGCTCACAACTCCAACTTTTCCTGTTGTCGTCAAGCTGGGGCATGCTCATGCAGGAATGGGGAAGGTAAGGAAAAGGCAATATTGACAGGAAACTGTATACACACACACACACCCTTCACTCAGACTAATATGCATGTGCCCTGTTCTCATTCATGAACAGTGATGGTGTAAAAGAGCATTCTCAAATCTTTCATGACAACTCAGACAGGCAAGACCAGAAGTTGGACCTAGCCTGGGGCTGCTTGCACAGTGTGGAAGGGTACAGACTGCAGTATGCTTGATGGTGGGAATCAAGGCAGTAGACTGCATGAAGGGGGGCAACCGTGCTTTTCTTCAGGTCCAGTGCTAAGCCTCGGAAGCTTGCTGAAATACAATCGCCACCCCAAGTAGCTGAGCTCCCCACCTTGTAGATCTTGGAGCTCTCAACAGTGGCAGGAATGGGGGGGGGATGCCTCCCTTCAGCCATGTCTCCTACATTGGTTTCAAGCCTGTCTTGTAGCCTGGTGGTGGCAGAACCAGTAAGAAGTGTGGGCTTTTTCCTGTGCAGCCTTTGCAGGATCCAAGGCGGCTGAACAGGTACTCTGCAGTCAACTGTAGAGCCCACTAGGGGCATATGGGGGGAGGGTACACCTGCTGCCATACTGTTGCCAGCTTCAGTGGGAGGGAATGACTGGCACAACCCACGCCAGTTGCCCTCTACCAATGTTCCCTACCAGTTTAGTGCCTCAAGCAGCTGTTGGGCTGCTTAAGCATTGAATTGACTTTGCCTCCAGCAGTTGAACTGACACTACCCGGAGCTCCTGGAAGGAAGGGTTAGGAAAAATTGAATAGATCGATTTTACCCACATAAAAAAACATTGGGTTAAGCCCCGGGTTAAGGAGCTGCAGAAAAGCAACCTGCTTCTCCAATATTCTCCTTCCGTCTCTTTACAAATATTGTAATGCCTTCCTAGGTAGTCAAGCACCCTGCTTTGGAATACAGAGAAAGATGAACCATCCCATTTCCAGTCTTAAGGGTCAGAGTTCTCAGCTTTCCATGGACAGCAATAAGGCTGCACATATGGACTGATTCATTGACCTGGACTTTTTTCAAAGAAGAGCAGTTGCTTGACTATGAAGGTTTCTTTGGCTAGCTTGAAGCTTTTATCACCCTTGCAGTCCAGGGAAAACAGAATAATCATTCTTCAGTGCATTGTATGCCAAAGAGCACATGGCCTCTGTGCATCTTTATTTTCCCACCTGCAAAAGGTGGCCAGCACTGGCTGACCCTATGGTTGGATAGTACTGAATGGAAGTCTCTTGTTATTTTCTCTCTTTCCAAAACAAAATATGTTCATTTGTTTTCTGGGATTTTTACAGACAAAGGAAGAAAGAGATACTCTCTCCCCCTCCAACTGATAGCTTGCCAAGAAAGAAATCCTTAAACACTGTTTTCCCCCCTAAAGGAACCTGTTTGTTTTTCCCAGACTCTCTGGGATTTTTCTCCATTCAGTGGATTAGCCACTGCTTTTGATCTGTGAACGTGAAGCAGCATTTTATTCAATGGAACGTCACCTGCATTTTGAGTGAACATCATATAAACACCTTGGCTCTTGATTAGACATACAGTCCTTGGGACAAGTGAAGTTTATCTGAAGTGTCAAGTACCGATCTCTTGGCAAAATTAAAATTTATCCAGATTTGTTTCCTACACTGAAACGAACTCTGTCTCCACAGTGATATGTATCCAACAGGACAAAATCCATCTACCATGCCACCTCTTTTTCCCCACCCACCCATCAAATACAATCCTGGACTTAAATAACCCAATCCTTTCTCTATATGCAAAATTATGTAAAGTTCTGAATTACCAGCGACCTGAAAACAACATTCTCCTATAGGACCCTAACAACAGTGTGTTCTCTCATTGAATTCTGGGTCTCTGCCTTGCATACAGAACCCTTCGTGGTTTCCACAATCAAAGCAGAGCTCACTTCCAGGCTGGAATTGCAGGAATAAGCAATTTACTAAATAGCCAATAAATCTGACATTAATCGGAGTGGGTGGGATTCTTAAATTTTCCTAACTTAAAACTGCTTGCAGAATGTATTCTTATTTGTCTTATTAGTGTCGTGATTTTAAAAATGTGTGTTACTTTATGTTGAAAGCAACAAAAAGTATTCAGGCTAAGAATATTTATTTATTTACCATATGTATAGTCTGCCTTTCTCACTGAGATACATACACATCTATAAAACCAAAAGCTTAGAGAAACCCAGAATAAGTTTAGTTTAAGAAAAACAGCCCAAAGTATGATCAAAGATGAACTAAAGCAACAGAAGGTACCGTATATACTCGAGTATAAGCCGACTTTTTCAGCACATTTTTTGTGCTGAAAAAGCACCCCCTCGGCTTATACTCGAGTGAGAAAAAAAATGACCCCAGAAAATGCCGCCGCTCCGCAGCCAGATATCAGCCTGTAGTCACTGCAGCCCGCCTGCCTAAACTGATCTAGTCACTGCAGCCCGCCCGCCTAAACTGGTTGCTAGATCGCCTCCCGACTGGCGTCTAGCAACCAGTGACGTAAGAGAGAGGAGAGCGGAGACTGACGTGCCAATAATAACAGCGGAGTTAAAAGACCTCCTCCGCTCAGCAGAACACTAGAAGCCGCCGCTGCCCGCCCCGCCTCCACTGGTTGCTAGATCGCCTGCTGATTGGCGTCTAGCAACCAGTGACGTCAGAGAGAGGAGACCGAGGCGGACGTCCTCCTCCGCGCCTTTTCCGTGCCGTACTGGGCAAGAACTTGCCCACATCTGTGTGCTAGTTCGTGGGGTGCATCGCATACAGTTTCTACTGTAAATTGACCTCTTTTAAGAACTATAACTAGGGCGTACAGTATATTTTGAGAATTAAACCGCTATGGTATGGCATTCCTTTTCAGAGTCTTCTTTTTTTTATCCTGTTAGAAATGGATCCCAATACTTCTAATCCTGGACCAAAACAAAAACGCAGGTCATACGAAGCTGGTTTCAAACTTAATTTTATTGGTATCTATTATTTCTGAAATTTACCAGTAGCTGCTGCATTTCGCATTTCCCACCCTAGGCTTATACTCGAGTCAATACTTTTTCCCAGTTTTTTGTGGTAAAATTAGGAGTCTCGGCTTATACTCGGGTCGGCTTATACTCGAGTATATACGGTAACTAGCTTTTGGAAAACTTTTGCCTTTTCTTTCTTCTTTCTCTTATCCAGAAGAGGTGGGGCAGTTCAAATTTGTTGAATTTGTTCGATCTCCCATTTATAGTTTAATAAGCAAGTTGAACAAGTACTATATTTGACATTTTATTACCTGCCATTCTTCTGAAATTCAGAAAAGCCTTAGGATTTGTTTTTTTTAAGAGTCATCCTTAAAGCTAAGTTCCAAAATGTTTTAAATGAAAGGGGGGGGGACCATTTCAGTTTCCGATTTGTGCAAAATTTAATTACACTTACACAGGAACACAAGATTAAATTATTTTAGTTTTTAAAAATAGCACAGTTGTTAATGCATTACAGTTTGTACAACCTTATTTATCTAATGCCAGCTGTGAGCAGAGCCAATGGACATGAATTTGAAATCCATCTGGCCAATACAACCACATCAGAGCAAAGGAGAAATCAGGTGTGCTTATTATCCTTTGCTCTTCAAACCAAGGTTTCCAGCTGGAGTAACCTTTAGGCAGGACAGAATTTTGGGAGGTAGTCACACCTCACATTTCCTTTATTGCTGCTCTGTTGCTTTTTTATGTGGGCCTCAACTGTGTCCTGTTTATGCTAAAAGGAATTTAGCTTTGCAGTGTGAAGAACATCTGCAGTCTACCTTCTGGTTCAATGGGGAGGGGCTGCGGATCAGATGTAGAGCATCTGCTTGGCATGCAGAAGATCCCAGGTTCAATTCTTGGCATTGCTAGTTGAAAGGATCAGGTAGTAGGTGATGTCAAAGACCCCTCTACCTGAGACCCTGGAGAGCCACTGCCAGTCTGAGTAGACAATACCGACATGGATGGGCCAATACTCTGATTCAGTAAAATGCAGCATTATGTGTCCAGTGGCATTTCTTGGACAACAGCAGTATCATCTGGCAAGTCAAGGGCTGACATGGTGAAGCATGTGCTTACAGCCTTGCAGAGGCTCCACTAGACACCAGAGACATTGCGTCCATCCACCCATTAGCAATGGGAATAGCTCCAGGGACCCGTGCAGTTTCACAGAAGCCACATGTTGGAAGAAACACTTAGAAGGAGTCTAGAGCCAATTTCTTTTTAGCACTGCTAGTGCTGACCAATTTTAAAGGAGCATTAAAAGAGGCACATATTGCCCTGACCTGGATAGCCCAGCCAAGCCCGATCTCAGATCTTGGAAACTGAGGAAGGCCGACCCTGGCAAGTATTTGGATGGGAGACCTCCAAAGAATACCAGGGCCAGGAGGCAGAGTCAGGCTATCAAGTCACTTCTCTGAACGTCCTCTGTGCCCCAGTAGGAGTCGCCAGTGGTCACCATGACCTCCAAGCACAGGCACACACACACGCACCCAAATGCCAAAAAAGAGGCACATATTGGCATGGTATCACAGCACCTCTAGAAGAGTATACACATGGATATACATGATGGGGCAGTGTGCTTAGTGGGGAGGACACAGTAGGACATTTTGCTTAGGGCCTCCTCATACACGAACCTCCCCATAATCTCAGGCGCTGTTTATATCACGTCTACAGAAGCCTTTAATTCAAAATACATTAACCTGGAAAAATTACATTATTGCAAGGATATATCCTCTTTGTCTTTGACATGCATAAGAATTTGCACTCAGTCTACACAGATGCATGGGAAAGAGTGAAAAACAAACAACCTTATGCCAGTCTTTGACCAAATTTTTACATGAGTCTTGCCATGTGGGTGACTGTATGAAATACAGCCATGTGGTTCTAGCAATCACTGTCACACCATTGGAACAGTATTCGCTGCTTCCAGTGATGTGGTTGAAACTGTGAGAACCACATAGTAAGTGGTTTCACAAGACTGTCTATGTGGAGCAGTCACATTTCA